TGCCAAATTTCTATCTTCAGTCATGACCTTTCTTTTGAAATCCTGGTGTTTATGTTCAATTTACTGCTAGATATGTCCACTTGGATTTCTAACGGGAATATTAAATTCAGCATGTCTAAAACCAAACTCTTGATTTATTTCTTTCAGATCTGTACCTCCTTCCTGTATTATCCTTCTCAGTAAATGGAATCACTGTTCATTTGATTGCTCTGGCCAAAAAAATCTCACAGTAAATCTTGACTCCCTTCTTCTAATCCATTACCTAATTTTATAGGCTCTGCCATCAAAATATATTCTGAATCTGCCAACTTCTCACCACTTCCGTGTCATCAGCCTTGTTCAAGCCACTACTGTGTCTCGCCTTGACCACTGCAATCGCCACTGCACTGATCTCCAGGAAGCCCTTTCTTCTCCACGCTGAATCAGGAGGTCCTCATGCTCTGGCCCCTGCAGCCTCTGTAGCCTCATCTCTCACTTCACTCCTCTCTTGACTCCAGGCCAGCGACATGCTTTCCTTGATGTTACTGGATCACACCCCATACTCCTCCCCTTTAGGGCACTTGCACTGCTCTTATTCCCACTCAAGATACCCATGTGGCTCACTCCCTTACTTCATTCATGTCTCTGCTTAAGTGTCATTCCTTCAGACAGGTCTTCCCTAAAGTCCATGTCCCCATTACTTCATTTTCTCTTACTTGGATTCATTTTTCCATACTATTAATCACCACTTGACATTATACAGGCATACCTTGGAGATACTGTGGGTTCAGTCCCAGACCACTGTAAGTAATAAAGAGAATATCACAATAAAGTGAGTCACACAAATTTTTTGGCTTCCCAGTGCATATAAAAGTCATGTTTATACTATACTGTCGTCTTTTAAGTGTGCAACAGCAATATGTCTAAAAAATTGCACATACCTTAATTAAAAGAATATGTTATTGCTAGAAAATGCTAATAATCACCTGAGCCTTTAGCAAGTCATCACCATTATGCTGGTGGAGGGTTTTGCCTCAATGCTGATGGCTACTACTAATCAGAGTAGTGGTGGCTGAAGGTTGGGATGGCTGTGGCAATTTATTAAAGTAAGACAACAATAAAGTTTGCTGCATCAATTGACTCTTCCTTTCACAAAAGATCTCTCCATAGCATGCATGCTGTTTGACAGCATTTTACTCACAGTAGAACTTTTTTCAAAACTGGAGTCAATCCTCTCAAACCCTGCCACTGCTTTATCAACTAAGTTTAGGTAATATTCTACATCCTTTGTTGTCATTTTGACAATGCTCATGGCATCGTCCCTGGGAGTAGATTCCATCTCAAGAAACCACTTTCTTTGTTCATTCATAAGAAGCAACTCCTCACCCATTCAAGTTTAAGCATAAGATTGCAGCAGTTCAGTCACATCTTCAGGCTCCACTTGTAATTCTACTTCTCTTGCTACTTCCACCACATCTGCAGTGACTTCCTCCACTGAAGTCCTGAACCCCTCCAAGTCATCCATGAGGGTTGGAATCAACCTCTTCCAAACTCCTGTTAATGTTGACATTTGATCTCCTCCCATGAATCACAAATGTTCCTAATGGCATCTAGAACGGTGAATCCTTTCTAGAAGGTTTTCAGTTTACTTTGCCCAGATCCATTAGAGAAATCACTATCTATGGCAGCTATGGTTATGCAAAATCTATTTCTTAAATAATATTTCAAAGTCAAAATTACTCCTTGATCTATGGGCTACAGATCTATGGGCTACAGATGTTGTATCAGCAGACATGAAGACAACATTCATTTCCTTGTACATCTTCACTGGAGCTCTTGGGTGACTAGGAGCACTGTCAAAGAGCATTAATATTTTGAAAGGAGTCTTTTCTTCTGAGCAGTGGCTCTCAACAGCGGGCTTAAAATATTTAGTAAACCATGTTGTAAATAGATGTGCTGTCATCCTGGCCTTGTTGTTCCATTTATAAAGCACAGGCAGAGTGGATTTAGCATAATTCTTCAGGTCCCTAGGATTTTCAGAATGATAAATGAGCACTGCCTTCAACTTAAAGTCACCAGCTGCATTAACCTCTAACAAGAGAGTCAGCCTGTCCTTTGAACGCTTGAAGGCAGGCATTGGCTTCTCTCTCACTATGAAAGTCTTAGTTGACATCTTCTTCCAGTAGAAGGCTGTTGTGTCTACCTTGAAAACCAGTTGTTTAGTGTAGCCGCCTTCATCAATGACCTTAGCTGGATCCGGATAACATGCTGCAGATTCCACATCGGCACCTGCGGTTCCACCTTGCAATTTTATGTTATGGAGATGACTTCTACCTTAAACTTCATGAGCCAACCAACTTCGGCTAGCATCAAAGTTTTATTATTTTTTTTTCTGTAGCGTTCTCATCTCTCTCAGCCTTCACAGAATTGAATAGAGTTAGGGCTTTGTTCTGAGTCAGGCTTTGGCTTAAGGGAATGCTGTGGCTGGTGTGATCTTCTATCCAGACCACTGAAGTTTCCTCCACATCAGCAATGAGGCTGTTTTGCTTTCTTCTCGTTCATGTGTTCACCGGAGGAGCACTTTTAATTCCTTTCGAGAGCTTTTCCTTTGCATTCACACTTAGCTGTTTGGCACAAGAGGCCTAGCTTTTGGCCCATCTTGGCTTTTGACACGCCTTTCTCACTAAACTTAATCATCTCTAGGTTTTGATTTAAAATGAGTGATGCGCAACTCTTCCTGTCACTTGCACACTTAAAGGCCACTGTAGGGTTATTAATGGGCCTAATTTCAATATTTTTGTGTCTCAGCGATGGGGAGGCCCGAAGACAGGAAGAGAGATGGGGGAATGGCTGATCAGTGCAATCAGAATGCACACAACATTTGTCAATTAAGTTTGCTCTTTTATATGGGCATGGTTCATGGTGTCCCAAACAGTTACAATAGTGACATCAGAGATCACTGATCACAGATCACCGTATCAGATATAATAAAAATGAAAAAGTCTAAAAGATTATGAGAGTTACCAAAATGTGAGGCAGGGACACAAAGTGAGCACAGGCTGTTGGTAAATGGTGCAAACAGACTTAGTCAGCTCAAGTTTGCCACAAACCTTCAATTTGTAAAAAATACAATATCTGCAAAGTACAGTGAAGCAAGTACAATAAATGAGGTATTCCTATATATTTATGTGATTATGCCTCTGCTATTAGAATTCAAGCTTCATGAGGGCAAGGATTTTATATGTTTTGTTTGCTCTTATATTCTCAAGACCCAAAACAGTGCCTGACACATAATATAGGTGCTCAATAAATATTTATAGAATGAGTGAATAAATACACAAAATTTCCTTATGAGTTTCAGATGTGAAAAAAACAGAACATAAGAGAAGTTTGGTATCTGTTCACCACCGTAACTTTATACTTAGAATTTTTTTAAAAAACTGCATTGTGAAGTACAGTATTTTCACTAGTCTTCCCCAAAACAACATGAACTCTACTAGAAATCTCCTAGATGTAAGTAGAGAAGATGTGATTAAGGTTATACTTATTTAAGTCACAATAACTATTGATCTTTTAAAAACATACATAAGATCATGTCACCCCCTGGTAAAACTCACTAGTGGTTTTTCATTGCACTTTGACTTATATTAAAATTCGTTTTCATGGCCATGTGATCTGGCTTCAGCCTGTTTCTGAACTCCGTATTGTGCCAATGTCTGTCTTACCTATTTTCTGTGTTGTAGTGAGGCACCGGCTGGTTCCTGCCTCAGGGCCTCAGCACGTACCATCCCCTCTGCCTGAACATGCTTCTCTCAATTCTACACTCTGCTGGTTTCTTATCATCCAGATCTTGGCCTCACAGTGTCCCTCCAGCATGCCCCCCCCAAGCAATCTAACGAATACAAGCGGCTCCCCCGCGCACCCCAGGAAGGTGTCCCTTACGACTCTGTCTTTTCTTTGTAACGGTATGGGACACTGTTGTGTCACTTTTCACTTGGTACGGTCATCCCCACTGGAGAGCAGCGGCTGCGAGCTCAGGGACACCGTCCACCACCACGGCAGAGCGTCGGCTGCAGCCTGCCTCGGAGTGGGTCTCTGAGTGGGTCTCGTTGTGGGCCTCGAGTGGGCCCCAGAGTGGGCCTCGGAGTGGGCCTCGGAGTGGGTCTCGGAGTGGGCCTCGAGTGGGCCTCGGAGTGGGCCTCGGAGTGGGTCTCTGAGTGGGTCTCGTTGTGGGCCTCGAGTGGGCCTCAGAGTGGGCCTCGAGTGGGCCTCAGAGTGGGCCTCGGAGTGGGCCTCGGAGTGGGCATCGGAGTGGGCCTCGAATGGGCCTCGGAGTGGGCCTCGAGTGGGCCGTGGGCCTCGGAGTGGGCCTCGGAGTGGGTCTCGGAGTGGGCCTCGAGTGGGCCTCGGAGTGGGCCTCGAGTGGGCCTCGAGTGGGCCTCGGAGTGGGCCTCGTTGTGGGCCTCGGAGTGGGCCTCAGAGTGGGCCTCGAGTGGGCCTCAGAGTGGGCCTCGGAGTGGGCCTCGAGTGGGTCTCTGAGTGGGTCTCGTTGTGGGCCTCGAGTGGGCCTCAGAGTGGGCCTCGAGTGGGCCTCGAGTGGGCCTCGGAGTGGGCCTCGTTGTGGGCCTCGGAGTGGGCCTCAGAGTGGGTCTCGAGTGGGCCTCGGAGTGGCCCTCGAGTGGGCCTCGGAGTGGGCCTCGGAGTGGGTCTCTGAGTGGGTCTCGTTGTGGGCCTCGAGTGGGCCTCAGAGTGGGCCTCGGAGTGGGCCTCGGAGTGGGTCTCGAGTGGGCCTCGAGTGGGCCTCGGAGCGGGCCTCGGAGTGGGCCTCCAAGTGGGCCTCGGAGTGGCCCTCGAGTGGGCCTCGAGTGGGCCTCGGAGCAGGCCTCGAGCGGGCGCGGGCGGGCGTCGCTGCGGGCGGCCGGAGCACGTCCGCCGGGCGGCCTGTCGGGGCCTCTGCCCTCCGGCCCAGGCCCATCGCCCGGAGCAGCCGCGCCCTGCGCGCTCTCTTCCCGCGCCCGTACCTTGATGGCGCCCGTGGCGATCTGCAGGTGGTGCAGCCGGCGCAGCGTGCTCTCCCGGTCGATGAAGTAGGAGGCCGCCAGCTGGTGCAGCGTCTCCAGGGACACGGAGCCGTTCCCGCCGCCCGCGACCGAGGCGGCCCCCGCCGTCTCCGCCCTCCTGCTCAGCTTCCGCTTGTCCACGAAGATGGTCAGGGACTCCTCCCCTGCGCAAACGACACGCGCCGGCGGGTGAGGCCTCTGCCCCGCCGAGCGGCGAGCACCGGGCGCAGCCAGGCAGGCGGGCGACAGGGAGCCGGCCGCGGCCTCCCCGCCTCGGCCTCTCCCGCGGGCCTCCTGTCTCTGCGCGGAGCCTCTCCACGCTCGCTCCTGCGCCCAGGGTACCCGCTTAACACCCGCTGATCCGAGCAATGCCCTGCCTCGTGGGGAGACGGCATGTCCTCTCTCAGCTGCTTATGGCAGGTCGCCGTGGCTGTCTGCTCCCTCAGAAAGGGCACAGCCCGAGGCCCCACCGCCCTCCTACGCCGCAGGCCGCGCCCAGGCCTGCCCTGCCGCCAGGCGGTGCGCCCAGAGTCGCGCCCACCCGCCTCCTCCTTCCAGGCCCGTCCGCGCCCGCCCCCGGGCCCCAGTGCAGAACCGCGTACTGGTTTGCCCAGGTGCCAGTCCCTGCAGAGGGGAAGCAGGGGCCGGGCGCTGCAGAGGGGAAGCAGGGGCCGGGCGCTGCAGAGGGGAAGCAGGGGCCAGTCCCTGCAGAGGGGAAGCAGGGGCCAGTCCCTGCAGAGGGGAAGCAGGGGCCGGGCGCTGCAGAGGGGAAGCAGGGGCCAGTCCCTGCAGAGGGGAAGCAGGTGCCAGTCCCTGCAGAGGGGAAGCAGGGGCCAGTCCCTGCAGAGGGGAAGCTGGGGCCGGTCGCTGCAGAGGGGAAGCAGGGGCCAGGCGCTGCAGGGACCCTGCCCCGGCGCCCCAAGCCTCGGAAGTGCAGACGCCGGCGTAGAGGGCCCAGTCAAAAGAGAATTGGGGGCGCCCTTGCCGGCATGTGCTTAGTAGGGGCCTGTCTGTCCCCCAGCGCCCCTACTCCGCACCCCCTTCTTAGGGTTTTAAACGAATAGAAAAGTTCTGGGGAGAACTGGGATGTCTGGAGACTACGTTGCTCTCAGATGCTCCACAAAGAAAACACTTATCAAGCTACAAAAGGCCAGGAGGAAGGGCAAACCCAGGCCGGCTGCTGGCGCTGCGCGATGGCTCTCACAGCTGTGTTCAGTGGCCTGGCAACCGATTAGCTCGAGACTGGGATGTTGCTTACCTCCAAGGGTGGCAGAAAGTAAGAAATGAGTGCCGTACTTTTTGATCAGGTTTTCTGTAACCTGTTGCAGGTTGGGTCTCCTTCCGAGAAGGCGGATGTTCCGGATAAACTCTGGGGCGAGAGGCAATGGCAAACTGAAGAAGTCTTTCCTTTCTAGAGCCAAGTTGTTCACTTTCCAACGAGCGAACTCCCTGGAGGAAAGCCAAGGGGTACAGAAAAGCTCACTGCATTTCTGAACAGCAGGCGTGATATTCGAAGCAGGCAATGATCTTCCTCCACCTGCACCCCCTTGTCTCTTCTCATCCCCGGGGTCTCCGGAGCCAGAGGCGCCCAGAGCCTGGAAAAGGGCACAAACCGGGCCTGTCACTCCCCCCTGTGAGAAAGCCCTGTCTCCACTGGCCTCCCGCAGAGCCTGCCCCACCCACCTTTCGCACCGGGGAGTGGCTGATCAGCTCGTGCACATGAAGGTAGTGGTGGTTAATGAAGTAGAGTAGGAAAACAAACATTGGAACAGCAGTTTGCAGAGCTGTGATCTAGTCACAATAGTCACACACTAGGGAGTCCTATCACCTTTTGTGTCCTCTGCTACCCGTTTGTAAAGTCAAGAAGATTGCTCACAGGTGTCCTCAAACTACTGCCAGGGCCACATGCGCTGAGGACATTTATCCCACCCGGGTGTTTTTGCCGCTGCTGCCTGTCCTGCTTAGCAGCCGTCTGGTCCCCTGGCCCACAGTGCCCATGTGTCGAGTGTGCGTGGCACTCTCTAACGCCCTCCAACGGTCTGAGGGACAGTGAACTGGCCCCTGTTTAAAATGTTTGAGGACCCCTGTGTCTAGAACAACAGTCCTCAAACATTTTGATCTCAGATCCCTGTCACAATCTTAAAAATGATTGAATCCCTCATATTTGTTTATGTGACTCATATCTGCTGATTTTACTATTTTAGAAATTAACACTGAGAAAATTAAATTTATGTTAATTTATTATTTCACTTAAAGGTAACAGTAATAAACCCATTATACATAACATAAATAACATTTTTATGACAACTATGATCTGAAACAAAACAGATTTAGCAAGAAGAGTGGCATGGCTTTCTCTTTAGTATCAGGCTTTGCAGAAGCGAGCTGAATTCTCACATTTGCTTCTGCATTCAATCTGTTGTCATGTAGATTTTTATCTTTGCTCCCACAATACATTAAACAGGTGATAGTTTCTTACAGATTAGTTACAGTATGGAATAGGGAACCATATCAATTAACTTTTTGTATTCTGTTACATTAAAATCCTGTGTTCTGTATTATAATTTGAGTGAATCTGTTTAGCCTGCATGATTTTGAACATCATGTTTTGGTCATCTGAAAATATCGCATCACTAGTTATACAGATCTCCTACATTTTGACACTTTTCATTATATAATATCAAAGCATCACATGAATTCATATCACCACCAATCTTATCAGAAAATTCTTTAAATATTAGGAAGCTGTCAAGCTCGTGACAATGAATAAAGTTTCCCAAAAATCTAATTTTTGTTTGAAAGCTCCAATTTTATTATTGGCTACAAATATTGTCAGTTATTTCCTTTACAGAGGCTGGCTTAATTAATTAATTTATTTATTTATTTTTGAGAAAATGTCTGCCAAACACTCAAGTTTGAATAACCATGGTTTGTTGCTTGTGCTTTCAAGAAAAATGGAGCTCCATGGAACAAGTGGCTAGTTCAGCTGGCAACTCAATCACAAAAATATATTTTCCCTGAAACACCATAGTACTCCAGTAGGCTCAAGTGTACTTTATGTGTACTTCCCATTTCATCATACAGAACATTAAAGAGACATGTACTCAAGTGTCAAGATTCAATAAAATTAATAAATGTAACTGTCTTCAGGACATTCTTAAGTGAAATGTTTGTGTGTGTTTAGGTGCAAGTGTATGATAGTAAAGAACATGTGACTACTAGTGTCATTCAGTGTGACTGCCTTTATTCAAATTAAGATGCCAGCAGTTTTATTCGCCATTGCTTTTGCACCTTCAGCACAAATGTCAACATGGGCACTCTGAAAGGGACCAAGAGAACCCATATTTTAAGCAGCTCTATTTTAGAAGAGAGCAAAGTCCTTCCTCTCTAGTCCCAGTCGGGATTTTAATTTTCAAGCTTTGCTCCTCACTAAAATGTCTGCGTTTTAAAGGGGACAGATTTCCAAAAGGGAATCTTTATCCTGGGATGAGATTTAAGGGAGGTATCCATTACAAAAGGAGCTTTCCATTGTTTCCCAATTTGTATTGGTAAGGACCAGCTCCAATCCTTAGGGAGCAACAAAATATAAAGTCTCACAGCCTGCTCACCCTTCTCAAACCTGTTCATCATACAGTGCTAAACCTTGGTCTAACCTTCCCTAAAAATTCATGGAGTGAAAATGATACGGCTGCACAAAAATTAAAAATAAATAGATTTTTAGCAAAGGTGCCAAGAACACATAGTGGGAAAAGGTCAGTCTCTTTAATAAATGGTACTGGGAAAACTGGATATTCACCTGCAGAAGAATGAAAAGTAGACTCCTATTTCTTACCTATTTCTCACCAAAAATCAACCCCAAATGGATTAATGAATTAAATGCAAGACTCTAAACTGTAAAATCACTAGAAGAAAACATAGGAGAAATGCTTCATGACATTGGTCTGAGCAAGAATTTTTTGGGTAAGGCCACAAAAGCTTAGGAAACAAAAGCAAAAATAGACAAGTAGAATTATATCAAACTAAAAAGCTTCTGCACAGTAAAGCAAACACTCAACAGAGCAAGGAAACAGCCTAGAGAGTGGAAGAAAATATTTGCAACTATTCATCCAATAAATGGTTAATATCTAGAATATATAAGAAAGCCAAACAACTCAATAGCTAAAAAACATAAAAATAAAAATAAAAAATGGACAAACAAATAGGTATTTCTCCAAAGAAAACATACAAATGGCCAGCAGGCATATGACAAAATGCTCAATATCACCAATTGTCAAGAAAATGTAAATCAAATCCACAATGAGATATCATCTCACACCAGTTAGAACGGTTTATTGTCAAAAAGACAAAAAATAACAAATGTTGGTGAGGATGTTATTGATGGGAACATAAATTAGTATAGATGTTATAGAAAACACAATGGAGGTTCCTCAAAAAACTAAAAATAGAACTACCGTATGACTCGGAAATTCCACTACTGGGTGTATATACAAAGGAATTTAAATTGGTATGTCAAAGAGGTCTCTGCACTCCCATGTTTACTGCAGTGCTACACAACAGCCAAGATATGGAATCAACCTAAATGTCCACCAACAGACAAATGGATAAAGGAAAAGTGGTACGTATATACAAATGGAATACTATTCAGCTAAAAAAAGAATGAAATCTGTCATTCGGTGACATGGATGAACCTGAAGGACATGTGCTAAGTGAAATAAGCCAGGCACAGACAGACCAATACTACATGATCTTTTTCATATATGAAATCTAAAAAAGTTGATCTTGTAGAATTAGAGAGCAGAATAATGGTTATTAGAGGCCAAGGAAGGGAAGAAGGAAGGGGGATGGGGAGAGGTTGGGCAATGGATACAAAGTTACAATTAGGAAGAATAACTATTAGTGTTCTATTACATGGTAGAGTGATTTTACCTACTAACATCATATTATGGACTTCAAGATAGCTGTAAAAGAGAATCTTGAAAGTTATCACTCCCCAAAAATGATCAATGTTTGAGATAATGGATATGCTAACTACTGATTTGATAATTATATAATGATACACATATTGAATCATCACACTATGCCCATAAACAAGGACAATTATGTGTCAATTATAAATAAAATTTTAAAAATTAAAATTAAAAAATAAATAAAAATCCAGGCCCAATTTGAGGTGATAGAATCCCACCACTACCTCTAGAGACGAAGACAGAGAGGGTGAGCATGTGCCAACATTACTAGGGAGACAAAGGAAAATGGATAAATAATGATTCATGGTTCCAACAAAGTCTTTAAAAATTTCCACTCTATGGCTTTATTTATCTAAACTGGTAAGTTCATGATAATACATTATCAGTTATTTTCTTTGTATAGGAAATGCTAAGCTTTAATTAAAGTACACGGTAGTTGTTGAAAGCATTTTCTATCCCAAATCCCACTACAGGGTAAAGAACAGTTGCTTGATTCATTTCTACTTAGCTGGATAGGAACTTGTATCCTCTCATTAACTAGTTGATAGTTACATAAAATTAGATTGCTAAAAACAGAAACAAAAATAAACTTAGGGTCATCGATACCAGCCCTGCCCCCTGCTTTTGGGTAGAGCACACCTAGACTTCATTAACTATTAATTTCTATCCTATTATTTTTTTATTTTTCTAGATTGCTAGGAGAAGAAAGGTATTCTTTCATTTTCCATAATTTTTTACAATGGTCAAGCCCCCTCACTGAAAGGAAATGCCACTTTAGCATAGAGGTGGGCCCCACTTTAATTAAGTCTAATAAATAAAATTTGGTAGACACATGGCTTGCCCAGTCACTTCATTTAGGACTGCCAAACATTATATCCTCTGAGAAGCTTTCCCTGTCTGTCCTATGCAAAAGAATATCTTCCCCCACTGTCTCTGCTCTGTGTTTCTTTTTAGTACTTATCACTACTTCATATAATCTGTTTTTTATTCTCTTTCTCTCCCATTAGAACATAAACTCTATGGGGGCAGGATTTTTGTGTTTCATTCAATCTGTATCTCCAGCCACAGAACAATGCTAGATGCTCTAACAACAGAACAATAGTAGACGTTCGACCTATTTCTGTTGAATAATTGAGTAAGAGATTCTCCAAGTCACTTATTTTGTGTCACAGCTCTCCTAATCCTTCAGATTTTGCAAATTATTGACAACTTGATTTAAAAAAACAAGTTACAGAGTGAGAATACATGGATGCAACAACCAATTAATTAGTGATTGATCTGAAATGAATTAAATCATTCTAAGTGTGTATACATATCAATGAGAAAATTAGATTTGCTTTATAAAAATGCAATAGACATTATTTTGTGCATTTAAAAAAATATAAATCAAGGCAATGCTGATATGTTCTTTTGCTTTGGCAAACTGAGTCTGGGTCCTCTTATATTGTCTGCAGTGGACATGGATAGCTTGCATTGACTGTA